AATCTTATTTTTTATTGCAGCCTCTCGAAGTCGGCGACGCAGCGTCAGTGAACTCATAAAGAGTGGCGAAAAAGTCGTCTCTCCAAGCCCGAGTCTAGGCGGTGCTCAGCCCAGTTATTATTTATTTAATTTAACTGGCAATTCATACTGGCGTAAATTTGCATGAGGGCGCAGGGGGTGGGCGGAAAGTGGTGAAATTCGGAGCCAGCAAATGGGCGACGGGGATTACGGAGAGGGTTTACAACTTAATGGGGAACGGATCCGCTCGGTGAATTGATATAGTGAAACAATCTGACCTCTGAACCCCTCTTTTTCCCTCTCTCTCTTTCCTTCGTCCCTGCGTCCTGGGCGTCCTGGCTGATGGTGTAATAAGGAAGATTTTGCCGTGAGGGTTTCAGATTAAAAGACATCATCCCATGGACGGTTCGGGGGCTGAAAAGAAAGGTTTGGATGATGGTGTTAACAATGAATTTTCCTCCGTTCTCAACTGCTCGGAAATGCCTGAGACACACTCAAAATTGAGGGTCGAAAAATCATCAAATGAAGAGAGGAAAATTAAATAAAGAGGGATGATTCTGGCGAGAATTAATGCGATTGCCGAAAAACCGTCCTAAAACTACAAAACTACAATTCGTCGCTTGAAGTTGGCCATTTTCTCATCCACTTTTCATCCTATTTCTGTTTATAGGAAAAAAATTTGTGTTATTTTGAACAAATTTCTGCTATCAGGAGAATGATTACGATAAATACTCCGTAGAAAATTGGGTTGAAAACTTTTCCAAGGGGGAGATAATGTAGTCAAAAGTGAAGAGCAGACAGAAGTTTTTAATTTATGCAATATTTAGTTCACAATTTTGATTTTTTACTCTCTGAAATTATTTTTTAGGTTATATGACTAGTTTATGACTAAAAAAAATCTGAAAATAGAAATTCTTGCACCTAAAATGAAAAGATTTTCACTTTATTGGTAGAATTGCGAATTTTTACTCAATAAAAATCGTTATTTCAGGAGAAAATGCTAAAATCAAACATAGGGGTAAGTGGGGCAGCTTCAGATTCAAAATGCTGTTCCAACTTTAGGATTTTTTCTTGAAAAATCGGCTGAATATATTGAAATGATCACAACGCTCAAATAAACTCTCGTCTATTGAGCTTCAGAAAATGCCTTTCATTGGGCATTAAAACTGATCCTTTTTCCTCTAAAGGAGAATGAAAATAATATTGTAATTTATCTGAAACTGCCCCGCACGGGGATGTTTCGGATTGCTCTGGGGCAGTTTCAGATTTTCACTGATATTTACCATAAATTCCATTGTGGAATTGTAGAATCGCGGGCAAATGATCACTTTGATATCTATTCTACGCACTGACACTGTTTAATTCGCTAAAAATCGCCTTTAAATTACTATTTTCGCGACTTTTCTGGACCCTTGCACGCACTGTCAAAATGTCTGAGCGAAAAGCAAGTTGCCCGTCATTTTTCCTGTGTCGCAACGCCACCATGCGTGAGTGGTGGCAACTTGACGCGCCGCGAAACTTCCGCGCAAAATGTTTCGCGTTTGATGATTGATTTTCGCGTGTATTTTCTCACTTTTCAACTAAGAAGTCGTTTAACGTGATGAAGCAATGCAGCACAGAACGGCACTTTGTGAAAAATCTTCAATATTTGCCACAAGAAAATTTCGACCGTGATGTTGCGTCAGACTGTCAGAGCGCGCTGTTGTCAGTCCGTGGCGATCCGAAGCTGCCCCGTGTGCAGTGTTTGTGCATTTTCCACCACCCACTGAAAAGGCCGTGCCAAGGAGGAAAAGTTCGGGCATATTTAGAATCTCTACTTAACTCTCAATAACCTTTGATTGTGTTTCACGCGAATTGTGGCTTTTTTAATGGAGAAAACACGCAATCAATTCGGCAGCAAAATTCTAGTTTGTGAGTGATTTTCAATTTTCACTTATTTTATCTAAACAGTCAAGGCAATCCTGTGCAAATTTTCGTCAATTGTAGTCCTTAAGGACTACAAACATTGTGTGAAGACCAGGAATTTATTCATGTAAAAATCTCTGAGAAAATTAAGAAATCTGAAACTGCCCCAATCTGAAGCTGCCCCATTTACCCCTAACCTTAATTTTTTTTAAATAAATTTCTGCAATTTTGATTTAGAAATAAAGAAGGAAAATAAATTAAAACACTAATCTTAAGAAAAACACACAAAACTACAATTTTAGCGGAAGAAAATCATAAAATATTGTATGAAAACGTGAATTTTAAAGTTGTCAGTCAGATTTCAGTCAGTTTTCGGTTAGATTCCAGTTATTTGTTGATTTTAGTCGTCTTATAAGCAATCCATGTAGTCTGAAGATCTGGAAAGTGTCTAAGATTTGTCCTACAAATTGTGGAAGTGTCAGGAATAGATTTTAGCTATATTATCTCCGTTTTGCGAAATCCACCGAAATTCTTCTCGCCAATAAGTTAACACGTTCGATGGCGTTAGAGTTGGTTATCAAGATGCTATAAAGCTCGGCTTAATTGGTCTAGAATCACGCTCAATTATAACATAATTAATTACACTTTGTAGATATGTTCATCCTAATTGAGGAGCTTCTCATAGAATATTTCTGAAAAGTTTCTTGTGTGAAAATTCAACTATTTTCACTCTCAAGAGTTCGCACAGATAATAATTGAGAAAGTTGTGCACTTAATAACCCAAATATTGACCGTGTTTTATTTCAAATTAATGAGAAGTTATATATATCTGTGAAATATGTTTTCACACACAAAACTTTCAGCGCACATTTAATAACTTAATAGAAACTCACTAAACATATTCATTTAAAACTTTTCTCCCAATAACGATTTCTATGCAATTTAAAATTTTGTGTTTAAGCAAAGAATTGGCCAAGAAATATGCATTCATTAACGTGTGGATTTTTCTCTAATTTGCTGCTTTTCTTGCTCTAGTGAACGTGCAAAATCCTGGAAATCCTTTTGTCCGCATTCGGGAGAGAAATTCTTATACAATATAAAAGGTGTGAAGATTTGAACCCAGGAGGTTAGATTGTGGAATCGCATTAGTATGCAACCTCTGTTGACTTCTTTTCCAAAAAATTTTTCGCCATAAACGTCGTGATTCCTGCAGCATTTCTCCCTCACATTTATAATCCTCAGACCACTTTGCCCACCTCAGCATTGCTTCTCAGTGGATATTTTTATTCCTTTTGTGTGTGATTTTCACTTAGAAATACTTTGCATTGCTCTGTCTCACCCTGGATATGTAATTCTGCCTCCCTTTCCTTCTGGCTGCGGCACTTTTCGGGGTGGTTTTATTGTCTTCCCAGATTAGATTCCTACTTCCGTCTTTGCCTCTGATTCAATAAATAATAAGGAGGATGCTAGAGCAAAATTGCGTGTAACAAAGGAGAAAACCTTCCACTTTTCCACTCCTCGTCGAAGAACGCCCACGAAATTCACCAGAGTACATTTTGGGGGTGGAATAAATATGAAAAGGTGTCCAAGTTTACTGCGGGCGGAGGAGATTAAACCACTACCACTTTCGTGAGTGGCCGGGGAGGGATTGGGTCTCCATGTGAAGATGTATGGGCGAAATGAGGGGATTTAAAAATCCATCACGTGCCCGTTTCGGCGAAAAAGGGTGGCCACGTGGGGACAGGCGGCGCTGGAACCCCCGGACGGCCTAATCGTGAGACAAGGGCTTGTAATTATGAGAAAAATGACCACAAATGGTGTTAAATTCCACCCAATCCCGCTGAAAACATGCCGCATTCACCGCACGAGACGCGCCCTCAAGGGGGAGACAATACAGCAGAACAGTGTACACCACTTTCTGTCACTTGCACAAATACTTCCGCAACTCTGACAGTGCTTAAAACATGAGTTTCCTCTTATTTTCTTCTCCTTTTCCCAAACTTTATAGATTTTTCCAAGCGTTAGACGCTTTAAAAGTGACATAACCTAAAAATTACATTGAAATATCTTAAAGAATCCTTGAGAGAAACCTATTTAGAATCTTTTACAGACAATCTGGGGACTGTTAATCTGTTATAAATCAACAATGAGCTGAAACTTGCTCTTTTAGAGTAGAAAACCAATTAAAAACCTCTTAAAAATAGTCAATTTTGTATCCTGAAGTAATATTTTAGAGGTTATGATCAATCTTAGCGTAATTAACACAGATTATCATTGAAATCTTGTAATCTTCATCAGATTTTACAAATAGAAAAGTTGAAAGAGCATTTCTTCTTTAGTAATACTTCATAAATTGGCATTTTCCGGTGTAATTAGTCAATTAATGTTGTCTTAAAATAGTCACATAACCTAGACAAGCAATTGCGTTTCTATTGAAGAAAAAAGTGTGAAAAATCTTAAAATATTGCGTTAATTTGCTCTGAAAGTAACTTTTAAACATCTAATATTGGAAATGTTCGAGCATTTCCACTTCCTTAAACTCCTACTGATCTGTACACCACTTCTGACCACACTATCTCCCCCTTGCGCGCTCCCACTTCGGGAAACACGGGTTCCGATTGCTCGCAGAAACCATACGGAAGCGGAACTACGCGGAGTTGGGGCGACAGATGAATGCGATGGCAAACAACGGCAATCCAGAATGACGACAAGTCATGCATATTTAGGACATCCAATAGTTGAGGTGCTTAAATTAAATACAAAATACTCCATTATGTTTCATCCCTTATGCAAATTCACATGAATTGTGGCTTTAGAGAGTCTGTGCAGGGATTACAGGATCCTCGAGGGATTATGAACCTTCTCATGGACATGTGTTTTATCTATTTTGACAAAATACACCGCAGAAACAATCTTTTCTTCTGAGAAAAAACGAGAAAATCTCTCCTTAGAATGAATTATACAGCTTGGCGGGCTTTTGGCGCCATCTGCAGGCAAACACTGTGGTGAATTTCTGCGTGGTGAGAAAATAATCAGATGTTTCACGACATAACCACACATTACATAAGTGTAAACAAACTGTGCAGACGTCGATGAAATCATAGGAAAATGAGTGTTTTACGCAAAGCTGCAGCTCCACTTCTGCACATAAGAAATTCCAGTTTCCTGACGAAGCAATTTCCTCTGCAATTCTCACCAAAACTTCTTTCTCAGTTGCGAAATTTTGGCTCTCAAGTGTCGTGTTGGAGTTGCGGAAACGTCGATGGCGGGAGTGGAATATTTTGCCCAAAATGCAATTCACTGCAGAAAGTTGACACGTCAAAGGTAGTTTTTCCACTTATCAACTGATATTCGCACTAATTTCTGTCTCTTCTCCAGAATTACTTTGACATTTTGGACCTTCCGCTGAACTACAATGTCGACAGCAATGCTTTATCGGTGAAATTCCGGGAGATGCAGAGCTTTCTGCATCCGGACAAGTTCAGCAACAAGTCGCAGGAGGAGCAGGACATCTCGCTGGAGTGGAGCTCGCTTCTGAACAAGGCCTACAAGACTCTCTTGGCGCCAATCAAGCGCGGCGAGTACATTTTGGAGCGCAAAGGTGTGCAATTGCCGAAGGATAACAGCGCTCTGGACCAGATGTTCCTGCTGGAGATGATGGAGAGGAATGAGGAGGTGGATGAGGCAAACACCGACAAGGATTTGCGGCAACTCCTCGTGAAAGCGCGGAAGGAATTGAGTGAAACGTCTGAAGAATTGGCGAAAGCCTTTGAGAAAAGTCGCACGGAAGACGCCGTGGAAATCATTGTGAAGATGAAGTACTTGATTAGTCTGGAAAGTAGCATCAAAGAGAAGTCCAGACGATTGGGATTTGTTGATTAGAGACGATTTGTTTCGTGGAATGCAGAGAAAAATACATTTTTATACTGAATAAACTTGAATTTGCCACCATTTTCACTCCCAATCCAAGTGGCGTCTAGCGGAACTACAGCGATTTTCAAATTCGTCACCAAATTAACGATCGCCTGAATGTATGCGAATTGAAAGGATAATTCACCAAATAGGGCATTGATAGCTCTTATGGGCAGTTGAGAATTTATCTATGCGGAAATTCTCAAGACAAATACATTGAATTAACTTCTAGAAATCACAAATTCTTTACGAGATTGGAAATAAAAATGATCTGAGGAAACCACGGTTTCCTCTTGCTGAGAAAATAGTTTCTTTGACACCATTTTGGATAAATAGCCGGAAAATTCACACTGCCAAGAAGAATTACTCACTCTTTGGGCATGTGTTGAAATAATCTTCATGGGAAAATTGCACACACACACTTCACCCACTAACAAAAGAATGAATCAAGTGAGAAAAGTCCCACGGAATGTCCAACGATGTCTCCTCACATTCAAGCAAAATTCAGCTTCTCTTCATATTTAATTTATTGACATTTATTGAAATTTCGATGTACATTTCAAGGACAAATATACAGAGTATTTTCCATTCTCATCCGATGATGTTCACAAGAAAGGTCATGCGAAAGAAAACAAATAACACTATTTACACGCGCGAATTCAGGACCTCGACAATCTAATGCAAGAAGATTTTTTTTATCACTTACAAGCTAGCGTACAAAATACTGGCTGAAAACGTTCATTTCTTTACTAGATCTCGCCCTCTCTCTGGCTGGACAAAAAGGATTGAATGTCTATATTTTTAACAAATGTCCCCCAAGTGACCTCCTCGCGGCTCTCAAATCCAATATGTCTTCCAATGTCGCCCAAGCACCAAAGTCCAGAATTTTGCCATGTGTCCGCGAGGAGTGAGGAATTTGACTGGCGTGTTGGGAGTTTCAGGAATTCAGAGAGCCTCAGTGTTTCTTGCTCTTCGTCTTGCCGAAGTCCTCGATGATGTCGTACTCCTGGTAGGATTCCGGGAACGTGTCGTAGTACTGGTAGTCGTAGCTGGCGTCCCTGTCGTTGGCCGCGGCGGCAGCTTGCGGCGGTCGCTTCGTGGAAGTCGCGTTGGGTGGTATCGTGGGCGCCTTGGAGAAGGTCGAACTCCTCGAGGCGGACTTCGTGGTGGCCTGGAGGCGGGCCTTCTCCTTCTCCACGCGCAGCTCGTTCCCGCTGGCGGCGATGTTCTGCGAGTGAGCCGTCTTCAGAAACTCATCCTCGGCGCTGTTGGCTGGCGGCAGAGTGGCGGCCGTGGGCTGATAGTTCGTCCCGAACTGGAATCCTCCGCCCGTCGTCTTCTGGAATTTCCTCTTGTGCCCAATCTTGTGCCTGGGAAAGTCCTTCTCGTACAGCTCCGGGTGATACTGTCCGTCGTCCTCGTCGATCTCGACCTTCTGGCCTGGCGCCTGTGTGCTCGTGCTGGGAAGATAGCTTGCGGCTGAGAATTTGTTGTAGGCGATGGGATTGGCGGTCTTTGCTTGCTCCACCTGACTCGCCTTGATGGCAGCGAAGGCATCCACGGGCTTCTTGTACGTCGTCGGCTTGAACGTCGTCGGATCGTACAACTCCTTGGGCACCAGCGTCGAGAACTTCTTCACCGTGGACGGCGTGTAGTTGTCTCCGCTGCGACTCACAGTCTGGTAGCGATCGTAGTTGATCAAGGGCTTCGGTGTTGTCACAATAGGGGAGTTGTTGAGAGCCGTGAAGCCTCTGGGCGAGGAGCTCTGGACTGGGGCTGCCGTGGAGTAGAAGTTGGTGGCGGTTGAGGAGGGAATGGGACTGCTCGTGGCCGGAGGACTAACTTTATTCGTCTGGTAGGGATTGTAGGTGAATTTGCTCTGCTGCACTGCCGTGAGGTCGTAATTGGTGTGCGGATTGAATCTGCTGTCTTGCGGGAAGGTCTGTTGCTGCGGCTGAAGCTGCGTTCTCGCGCTTTGTCCTTGGAAGTTGTTGAAGTTAAAGCTGACTACGTCGTTTTGCGCGGGAGTCTGGACTGGTTTCTGCGTAGTTGGAGCCTGGAAGTTGGATGATTGCTGGAGTGTTGTTTTCTTCTCGCTGAAGTTGCTGGTGAAGTCCGGTGATTGGCGGCTCTTGGCGACGTCTTGGCTGTAGGGTGAGTAGGAGATCAGGGGACTGGGAGAGTGCTGAGGTTCGGCTGAGGTTTTGAAGTTCTGCTGACGATTCAACGTGGTGTAGGCCGGGGTGGATGAGGGAATCTTGAAGATTTCCCTCGATGTTGAGCTTTCCTGGTGGACAGGCTTAACTGTAGACGAGACGGCCTGGAAGTTCTGCTGCGGTTGTTGCTGTTGTGGCCTGAGAAATGACATTGAGAACATGTACTGGTCCTAGGACTTGTCCTATGACGTCTTCTACGCTTACCTGAATGTTACGACAGCAGGTTGAGGAGACGCTCTTGGAGGCGTTGGCCTGAAGGCGTCGCGAGATGTGAAAGAGAACGTTCCTTGGGAGCCCAAATATGGCGGAAGCGAAGATGGCGCAGCTGTGGCAGTTGGCGAGATTAGCTTCGTCGAAGCCACCGTGCTGGACGCGACTTTGTCAGGAGCCGTGCTGATGTTGTTCAGGCTTGAGCTGAATCGGCTTCTGCCTCTCTGCCTGATCCTCACGGACGCCTGCCTGGGCCTGACTGTGCTTGTCGCCGCCGAAGTGCTGAAGTCATTCTCGTAATCCTCCTTGCCGTTGTTGCGATTGTTGAAGAAATTCGAACTGTGCGATCCTCTGAAGATCTCGTCGTTTCCGCCGAATCGCTGGTTGTCGGGGAAGTTCGGGGCCACCGGAAGGGGTTTTGCGGTCGTTGTGGTCGTCGATGGGGGCGTCGGACGGTACTCTGACGCCCTTGAGACACCCGGGAAGTAGTTCCCAGTGTACGAAAACTCATTCCGGTTCACCTGAGGCGGCTGGCTGGACGTCTGCGGGAGCTGCGTTGTGGCTTTTGTGGTTACCACGGGGCGATTGAAGGTGTTCTGCCCAAATGACTGTGAATTTTTGCTCTGATTCACGATCACCTGCTTACCACGACGAGCATCGCCTTAAAGAGAGAATTTTTTCGCGTGTGATTTATTGTCAAAGCGTGGGATTGTCTCAGAGATCTTCCTCACCTGTTTCAGCTCGCTGCAGGTGGAATGTGGCCTCCTCCTCCTCGGCAAATGGCGCTCGCTTGCTCTCGAAGCCCGAACCGATGCGATAGAGGTCGAAATTGTCGCTGCCATAGTACAGGGTGGCCGCCTCGCAGTCCACATCACCCCAATCGGCACAGATCTGCGCCTCCTGGTCAAAGGCCGTGCCGTTGGGACAGAGAAAACGGAAATCTTGCACCTGCGAAGAGGAGAAAAAAGAACATCAAGAGGTCACCGAGCGCCTGTGACTCAATCCACGATCACTTTTCTTGTGTCTTTTCTCGTGCAAGTCTTCCTCTATATATTGAAAATTACTTTTGTGCGGTTTACAATCTGGCGCACAGAAACAGCGCCACGACTCGCGAGACACTTGGTCTTATTGCTTCTGCTCAAAAGGTCAGCCTAGTCTCTTGGGAATATGAAAGTGAGTCTAATTTTGCGCACACCGAAAACACCCAGACTGTTTCTGTGTGTGTGTGTGTCTTTTTCCCGCCATTTCTGCGACCTCTTCGCGGCTCATCTTCATCGTGTGTTTTTTTTTTCAGGGTAAATTGCTCAATTTCACGCGCGCAGAGATGATGAATGAAAGTGCAAATTCACCCAATAATTCACACCCGCGCTCTAGCCTAGAGCGAACATCTTAGAGACTCACCCCAACTCCGGCCACTTTCACGCACACGTGAAACATCTGACACTGCGTCTCGGCGTCCGCATAGTAGCCGCCCAGGATCTTGTCACGGCACGTGAAGCTCGTCCGCGGCATGTTCTCCAGACTGTATGTGGGCCATGGCTTTGCCGATGCAACCTCCAGAAGTCCACAGGAAACTGTGACGATTGCTGCAAGAGAAGAAGTTATAGTCAAATCAGTGGCAAGAATCGCGCGAGAGATTTTGAATGGGATGAGTTAATTGTGGCTTTTCTTGCAATTCTTGGCCAATTTCGCCTTGTCTCAATCACCTCTCCAGGCGCTTCTTCATCCACTGTGACGAAGACATTGAGGTGTCATGTTGCGGGAGTGATATTTTAATTTCCACTCGACAATTCACTACGATCTTTCCCAAAGTTGATGACTCGGTGAGATATAGTCTTTGGGATTGTGTAGAAATCTCCTTATTTATTATTGTTCGTATGGTTCGAGATTTGTTGATGGATTTTCACGCATTCAAGAGTGGCACTTTTGAATAATTTCACTGACAGCCAGCAGAAAAGGTTTGACTTCTCAGTCTAATTAATTCCTCAAACTCTCTGTTGATGTACAAATTTGTATGTTTGACGATCGCGTCCCCCAAAATGGCCTTTTTGGTGGGTGAGGAAAAACATTTGCCAGCAATTCTTGTTTACTTTGCCAATCACTCGCCAAAAACTCCCATTCATTTCTCACATCGCGTCAAAGTGTCTCTCTCTCTCTCGAATGCATCTTACAAATGTTGAATAGAAGTTGGAGACGATGAACTTTCATTTGCAAAATAGCACGCGAGACGATCTCACATAATTCACGAGGCAAAACAAGAGAGTCTCTTTTCGGTTGCATCATCTGAGGCCTCATCTTCATCAATCTTTGGTCGCTGCGCAGCAGAAAGTGGTGACGACACTGATTAGCACGGCATTTTCCCGTCGTCCCACATTTGTTTTGCCAATGGAATTTTGACAATTAATCTCATCGATGTCCAGCAATTAATTGGGAATTGTTACAAAACGTGAAATTTTCCCCCCATCGAAGCCCTTCTTTGGACATTAATCACAAGACACAAAATTGTGCATCTTCCTGCTTTGAATTGTTACCTCACCGCGCTGCCTTATCTCGCCTCTTCTATGCCTCATCATCTCGTGTTTGGTCTATTTTCACGGGACACTGAGTAATAAATTCACTCACAAGATCATGCATTCGTGTTGCAACATCGCCATCAACATTCATGTCTGTGAAATTTTGAAGAGACTCTCGCGTATCAGATCACATCAATCAAAAGCACTGCTTTGCTGGGCTTTTCCACTTGGCCCGAGAGTAGGTGAAGAAAAAAGCGATGAGAAGTTCAGATTATTTGTGGTCCAAGGGGGAGATAATCTCCCTTAAATCTCTGTGAAGAATTTTCAACTCTTCAGACATTTTAAAACGGCTCAAAAGGCATTTTTCATCGCTGTTTGTCACTCTTATTTTTGACTAATATCAATCTAATCCAGGTTTTCCGTTTCTAGAAATTTAGTCTCTTCAAATGCTTAGATTTCCAATTCTAAGAACGCTTCTTAATGTCTCAATCATTATATTATGTTTTAAAGGTTTTAAATCAATCACATAACCTAGAAAAACGATAAAATTGATTTCACTAAGCAAAATAAATTAGGAAATGCTTCAATTTGTTGAAACAGAAACATTCTGGCCTTAATATCTGCCCCTTGGAATTGTCGAGGCTTCAGTGCTTTTCCAACCTCTTCAAGACAGTCAATTATGTTGAGAAGATTGTTTGTATGATGATAAGATATATTTGGGTTAGAAATCATCTCTCTTGATGCAGAAAAAAAAGCTCTGAAGGGTTGAAAAATGTTGGCAATATTTTTCGGATTATAATTTATTGCCTACAATTTGCATTAATTTCCACTAAAATTTGCAGTGAAAATCAATTTATCATCGATTTGATAGTGGAATAAATTTTCCAAAATTGGGCAATTCATTAGTCGAACACACAAAATGATAAATCAAAAATTGCAATAAAGCTGGTGAATTAAGCGAATTTGTATGTAAATCAAATCGTCACCACAAATGTCGATTACGTGTGCGTAAAAGCCAAAATATGTTGAGAGCATCTGTCAGCCAGATTAATGCCATCATCATAAGTGATTTTCTAACCCTTCGTTGCGTCAGACAAGAGTGAATCATTCCACTGACCTTCCAGAGTCTCCGATTTAGCGAAATGCAGCAACATTGTGAGCATTTAAATGCTAATTCCCAAGCCTACGTGATAATGTTTCCAGCATGGAAAATTGTTGAGTGTTTTTTCTGCAAGGTGTTTGATGAAAACGGGCGAAAAATGAGACGATCTTGCAAGAGTTTCAATCTCAAAAGAGAAGCTGAATTGAAACGGTTTCTGGATCAGCTTGAGCAATTCTTCATTATTTCTTTTTTCTCTTTCTTATTATTGTCTATATATCGCGAGACAGCAAACAAAGTCGCGCACTTTTGCATTGTGGAATATTGTTGATTGCATTGACGGTGAAGATTGAATTGAGCCAAGAGTATAAATAATGCGGCGAAAAACGGCCTAATTGAGCAATTGTAATCAAATGCTGGAAGTCTGCCGGTTTGGATGCCAAGAAAGCCTCATCATGTGGGCGATCGCTCGTCATTGTGTCTTGGCGGTTCTGATGGACACAAGAAGATATGGCGGAAAAGGGAAAGTCATATTGTGGCAAATTAGTGATTTATCTTCTTCTCTGACTTTCGTGCACCTCCGAAGGCTTTTTTTTCCTCCTCTCCCGCATTGATGTGTGTAAGAAATGAAGTTCGCATCTTCATCAGAAGATCCACTGATTTGGCGGCGTCTCTTCCTGAAACATCGCCCGTTTTTTGCCCGCCAATCCACAGCAATTAATCACAAACACTCAATCGATTAATGGCAAGTGATTCAGAGCTCAGCTGCAATTTGCACCATCATGAGATCATCTTCCGTGCTTTTTTCCAGCCTTTCTCCATAAAATCACATTTCGATCATCAGAATCGTGGCCATAAAATTGATTGTGCTTTTTGCTTCAATATATTCAATTAACTTTGCCCACAATGAAGCTGTTTATGCAATGACGCCTCTTTTCACTCAAAAAAAACCCTCTTAAACTGTTTCCTAAAAGGTGCAATAATCATAAAATGTGTTGTGGCAATTAAATATCAAAGAAGAAGCTCAATTTATTTGAATAAAATACTATAAAAAGCATTCTCTCCAAAAACTCTGGGAGAAAATAACAATTTCTTATTAGTTTTGCACTCAAGATTTGAAACCAATCAACTTTCAAGCTTTCCAATCACTAAAGGTTCGTAAAACCTTTTATTGTGGACAATTAGACAGACAAATCATTCATTTATCCCTTTTGTAGATCGATTCGTGCTTTAATTAATGCTAGAAAGCACTTTGTGGCCACAGTGGCCAAAATTGAATCTCAACACTTTTGCTTCAGGAAATGCGTGGAGAATTGAAATAGTTTTCATTTGGCTCAAAAAGCATCAAAAAAGCTCCATTTGTTCATGTTTAAATCGCAATCAACGAAAAGAGATGACAGATGTCAAACCCATGCAAAATACTGTCACAAGAGTAGAGACATCTATCTGTCGAAAGAATGTCAGTTAAATCTTCTGATGTGCAGAGGCGAAATGCACTTAATAAGCGTGGAAATCCCATCTCAAGCACTTTCTAGTGTTAATTATTATGCAAGGAATACAAATTGTTGTAGTACAAATAATAAAAAAAAACATCTTATAAGGTCGCAGATGCAAAACATACAAATTGATTAGCGTCGTTTTTCAAAAGAAGTTTTTACAAACAAATTAAGAAATAAATCTTCTCTTTTTTCCTCCCTGCACTTCAACGAAAAAACCAAGAAGAGGTCAACGGAGTGTGGTTGATGTTGTTGAAAGAGGCAAAAAAAGACTTCCTCCCACGGAGAGACCTCGAGTGATTCCCAGTCATCTCTCCGGCCGACACCTGTCCACCCCCCTGACAATTTCCCGTGACAGAGAGTGAAAGCACGGCGTCTCGATTGTTGCGAGATCGATTTCCTAATTGTGGCCAGAGAGGCGAATTCGCACCGTTCGCGTCTCTTCAGCGGAACAATAATTAAGTTCTTTCTCTTCACCCGCGCAATTTGTGCTCCGGCGATGGGACAAAAGTGCCGCGCCACGCAGCGCGTCTTGAAGAAGACGACGACAACCCAAAGAAATGCCGGAGAAGATGCTCGAAGATGTGTGAAAGGAAATTACTTCCATGTGTCGGCCAAAGTATTGGATCTCAATAGCTGACTGATGTTCAGCATGAGTGTTTGGAATTACAATTACAACATTGCAGGAATAGTAAAACTATTCAAATTGTATAATGCTGTGAGATTTGTAATGATTTTTTTTCTCCATCTGCTCTGCGTACTGTTTTTTTTCCTCTGCATTTGCCCACCGTTTTTCTCGCGCAGAACTCTTCATTGTGCACAACTTCACTCTCTCTGATTAATTGTTACCACGCGGGCACAGTGGAAACAATATGAATTCTCCGCTCTTCTGAACTCTCCACGATCAGGAACTCATTAAGACAAGCGCCAGAAGGTGGTCGATGAGATGACGAAATGGCAGCGCAAGTAAATATTCTCTGTCCTATTTTTCCAGGCGCTTTTTTTTCTCACCGCGCTGAACATCAAAAAGTCGTTAATCCACTGCACAATTTCGTGGTATTTCTGTCAACGGTCAAATCACTTCCTCATACTGATGATGGCGTGACATGAGATGTGATCATCGGCAGTCCAGTGTCTTTTCCCACACCTTCAATCAATGCATTCCTCAATCAAAGTCATATTAAGTCACTTTATGACACAATTTCTCTCCTCTGTGCGCCTCAAATCAAAGACCGTCCAATCAATTTCAGTCTCATTTCTCTCTTTTGCGCGCGCATTTCGACTAATCAGATGCCCGCGAGGCTCATATTTTCACCAGCAAAAAGCAAGACCTCCCGAAATTGAAATAATAACTGAGAAATAATTGTGCTTAGAGCGATTACAGACTCATGGATGATCCACGAGTGTTAAGCGAGTGTATATCGCGCGATATATCGAAGGATCATCCAGTATTTTCGGCGTTCGCGACGGCAGCGCGCTCTATTGAAATTTCCCGAATCATTTGACAAAGTGTTTGACACCTTTGACGGCTCAAAATGGCGGATCTCTCGCGAAAGATTTTCTGAACTATTAAAATCATTCAATTCTTCTGCAAATAATCCATTTTTGCAATTTTATCGTAAAATTTCACGTTTTTGACAAAATCTAGACAAAGAGGAAATTGAGAGATGATCCCACTTGGCGCCGATTCGAGGGTAAACCCTCGGTGTGTAATCGCTCTGCGATCGAAGATGCGTCGCTCAGTCTGTGCGCGAGAAAAATAGGAAGTTGGAGAAATTCTCCGCGCGCGGTGATTATGTGTTGATGATGGAGATGCTGTAATCCATTCTCGTGTTCATGCAACTAATCACAATTTTGCCCATCTTGCATTAAACCCAGAGCTGTTTGTGATGCAACGCATAAAGCATCAAAACCATGGACAATTTCCGCCCCGAAAGCGCATCGCCGCCATCAAGGTGTTACTCATCTTTCCCTCCCAATTCCACCGCGTGTTAAATTCCACCATTTACGGGCGCCAATTGACGTGCACACGAGATAAATCATCATTAATTGATTAAGTGTGTTTTGCTAAAGTGATCTCCTCTCGCGGGTCAGCAACTGCGCGTGATGCAATGCGGTTTTTTTGCAGGTGCGCGATTCTTCATAATTATTTTCCGCGTGTAGACCAATTTTTGAGCGATTGCAGAGTGATCGCGCAATGAGGCAAAAAAGCTCTCTCGGACTTCTCATTGAGCGCTCATTGCGAAATCGTTTTGTTCCCATGTTTTCCAAGCCATCGAGCCAATGAAGAATGGTCGGTGCGATATTTGCGATCGAACATGTGATCTTGTTTGATCTTGGCTACTTGATCGCCATTAATGAGTGTTAAGATCACGGGTGGGAAATGTTTAACCAAGAGGATCAAGAGGTTCAAATAGAGAGATCACTCTGCCAAGGGGGAGATAGTAACTGAAAATTCCCAACAAATCCACTTATTAAGTTATTTTGTACATTTTAGGACTTTTCATTTCCATCATCAGAAGATTTTCGTTGATATAATCTGCGTAATAAGCTCAAAACTATTGCTTTTAAACGTAAAATTGTCAAAAACTCGTGAAAAAGACATTCTTTAAACACCAAAATGATAGTTTTGAGGTTATGTTAGACATTAAAATTGTCTTTTTCACTACAAAACTTCAATAATTGTCTGAAATTCTTGAGGAAGCTCAATTATTGCTATAAGAAATGAGCTAAATTGTTAATAGAAGCACAAAGATGAATTTGTAGCTCAGTTTGCTCAGTTTATCACACTGTCACAATTCGAAAATGAAGAAAATCAAACCAGTTGTAAACTGTGTCCAGGAGCAGCAGGAAGAGAATAAGAAGACAAAAACAGCTTAAAATTCTGTTTTAGAGAAGAAAAACTGTCAATTTTTGAGCAACTAAGGGAACTTTTTGTGCTCTTTTCATGCATTAAAGCCAATTCGTTCTTGTCATTGCTAATCAAGTCATAGGTTTTCGATTTGAACCAATCTAAGCCCACAATTAAGTTCTTTGTGCTCAGTTAAACTATGGAAAAGTAGTGTGATAATTTCTTTACACAAGTGAAATATTCAAGAATGTTGAAACACTTCCATTTTGTCCGCAATATCTCCCCCTTTTGCTGCATACTAAATGATGAATTGTGGGTCACAACGGGCGAAGATGCAAAAAGTGATCTTTTGCACAATTTTTGCGATCCTCCATCGCCGATATGTGTTGCTAATCTGAGCTGAGAATCTCCTTCACTTCGCCAGCGAGTGGCGATGCATTGAATGCATCGTTGGGAGAATGATGACAACGCAATTACCGTCAAGATGGTCAAAAGGAGTCATCAAGAGTTGAATGGGCACAAAATGTATCTCTCTAATGGGCAACTGAATGGGTGGCTTCTTTTCGCAAATGCACACACACACAATTGATGATTAAATTGTGATCGTAAATCTCAAAGACACCCAGAGACAAACCACAACCTCCTTGCGGCCATTATAAGATATTATTGCGCCTGTGCAATTTTCTCACCGGGTGTGAAAATCCCGCGAGGTGGTCATGTTGCAATCGTGCATTTTATAATTATCTCTTTTGGGATTTATTGCCTTATGCGGGTGGGTTTTGAATAAACCTCGACACTCTCATTTGTCTCTCTCGCTTCCTCGCCATGTGAATTTTAAAGCCAACGCGCGCTTTGGCGCATTATGCGAAATCACACAGTGGAAAAATATGTGTATTGCTGAAAATAAAATCCACCTTACACTGGGAAGTGAGTTTTGGGTGTGTGAAATTAAAGAGAGGAAAATGAAATCTATTTCCCCGACAGTGCGTCTGAAATGTCGTGTGCAACTTCTGGGAGATTTCTGAGACACTGTCTGAGTCCATGGCGAAATGATATATCTTTGTTGCGCGAGAGATTCGCATAATTAGTCATTACCAGAGAGATGAACAGCGTTTTTTTTTGGTCATTG